ATTTTCTTATAGAATGTGGCCTGTAGAATCCATAATTTCAAACAGTTCCAAGATTGGGCTACTAGTTCAAAAGTTACAGCCCTTGGAATTTTCTTTCGAAATTGGTTTCTAGTCTATAACTTTTGATTGAGAAGTCTGATCGAAAAAGTACGAATTGTTTTGGATTCTACGCACCAAAATTAATAAGAAAACGTGCTTTCCCGAGAAATTTTGGCCCTCAGAAAAAATTGTCTCAGATCGACCCAACTTTTAGAGAATAAATTGTAGAAATTATTAATGGCCTTGTGCGAAAGCGGAGTACTTATTATATTTAACCACAATCTCTGCAAAGATTCATCTACAGATTTGGACTTATAATTAAAATCTTAAATGGGAATGATGTGCTTCTGTAGTAATTTTATAGCGTCGTGTTGCCGAAAAATAAAGAGGGTGATAAGCTCATCTTACATAAGGCAATAAAACCTTATTCGCTAGGGTGGAAACGTTGAGGGTTATATTATTTTTGAGTGGGAATTATTTCTTTTGTTTTATTCCTCTGCGGCTATTTCTACGACGCGCGCAAAACTGAATTACACAAGACTACAGTAAGAGATCGACATAGTAACAAATGAGTGAAACAATTGATTGAGGTTTGGGGCTGTAAACTAATTTTATTCCTGAAGTTAAGATTGACTGGAACTAAATTGGGAAGTGTATTGAGGCAATCTGGGGAAATTTAAATCAAACATTGACTTCGATTTTGAACCTTTTAGTAATCGCTGCTCTACTGCTGAATATTATTTAAAAATCCTCTTTTATAAGGTCTCATGGGTACGGTTCGGCGATGGCTTGTCCCTTGTTATCCCCCTGAAATCCAATTCGTGAGAGTAAATATCACACAACCCTTATCAAATTAGACTCGTAGCAGAAACGTACAACCAGGAGGAAATGCTTGAAAATAAATTTACCTATATTGAAAAGGTTTTCCGGAATTAATCTGCGATTCGGCTTATAAACGGATTTTAATTATGGTAATCGATATTGCAGGGTACTGTCATATCCCAGAATACAACAACCGATCTAATTTAAGCAATCAAAACCGTGCAACGAATTTAAGTTTGTACAACCTCGTCAACACAGCCAAGCAGTACCAGCATGATTTACTTAATAAGTATCTAATTATAATTACGTTTTTAGAAATATGTAAATACCCTTTGTTTAGCAAAATCTCCGCGTACACATATTCATTTACTAGCACAAACGCTAATAATAAAGCTCAAGCTCAGGCTTCAATCACGTTTGGCAATACTGGGTGAGTTTTCATTGCGATGTTTCCATTATAATTATAATATTACTTAGGTATAGATCGCAAAATATAGAAAATTCAATTCCTACACAGGGGTTTAATCTTCGGAATTGGCGACCACCGAGGCGCAGTTTAGCACAAAAAAAGGTACGTACTGATGGTTGTTCTAAAGCTGCTTAACTGACCATCCTGACATCCTGTTTAGAATACCTGCAAAGTTTATTTCGGAAAGAATGAACAAATCGCGCTTGCGTCTACTGCCTATTCTGAAAATGGATATCAGCAAATAGCAGCAATTAATCCAAAAAATCCTGTATAACGCTTTATTTAATGTACCTACGCATACACTGATATTTTGTCTTGCAGAAATTTCCAAATATTTACACTTACGGCAAGTTGTCTAATAATCACAATCTGGCTATGATGGCATATAGTCAAGTCAAAAATAAACCTGTATTGCATGAGGCAATTTCGCAAGTTATTCGAAACGATAAGGTCACTACTTATTTTGTTCACAACTAAAAACATCACTGTAAATTATGTATCTAAAAGATTACATCTCGATCACTCCCCAAGCCACTGTTTTAATTTACGAGCAATGGGAAAATCCTGAAAAGGTTGATTCTCGCACAAGCATGGTGTCAAAGAAGGGTTAACATCGCGTTTGTTGGTAAACGCTTCCCACCCATTGTCAAACCCAGTTGGCCAAACGTTTTTGTAGGTTTTTTTGAATTCTAACGGATTGTGAACATGTTGTTCTCCAACTCTTGGTCGCGGATACCATTGAAGCTCAGGAACATGTCGATGGACACCGTTATTCATTGGAAAGTATTCGCCGTATCCTACGAAGCGTCCATCATCGCTGAGTTGGGGTACAAAATCAATGCCCACTGAAGACGGTGGATAATTTGGGTCAACATTTACATGCGGCTGAGGAATAACTGGGAAATGTTCAGGATATGATGGCCCCTTGGAGCCTACAATTACAGGCACATCTGGCACCTTATTCTCACTTTGGTTTTTAGGTAGATCTATGCTCGTTTTAACATGCACTATTACATCTGTAGATGCACTATTGGATGAATCGCTTTTCACCGACTTCGTTATATCACAATAATTCCCAATGCAAAGCCCATCCGAATTCGGATTTTGAAAATTTGGATTCAACACGAAGTCGTCATGATGATTGCCGGTCTTAAAGACTGGCCTTGCACTTGACGATTCGCCGAAGTCTAATTTTGGGGAAATTCTAACGGCATTCGCTGAAAAGACTAATTTAGTGCCAAAGCTCTTGTGTTTTACCTCTAACTTACCAGAATATAACCATAAAGCGACTATCGCTACAGATAAAGCCATGTTAACACGTCTTCTTCGTATATAACCTCCACCTAAACTAAAATTCCGTGTTGGATTCGAAATAGCGTGATACATTCCTTTGCGAATGATTTTCCTTTCGCAAATTAAGCTAGTTGGTATCCTTCATCCGTTTTCAAGGTTATAGAAAACTGCTTTTAATTGCACAATTAAAAGTTTTTACGCCATCCAAAGATATACTTCAACGAATTAAAGATGATCACATAATACCAGCCTTAGACCAAATCTGTTTGTAACTTAAACGCGTTATTAATGATATAAGGCTATGATTTGCCAACGTTTTTTTTAACAAACGTGTTTCTTCACCACATTTTGTTACCCTAGTTCAAGGAACATCTTCGCATATAAATGGTCTTTAAATTTACCTAGTCATGGCATACCAAGAAACAGGTTTGCTCGATTTGTATATTGCAAATCCCAATAAAAAATAAGAAACCTTCATCTGTATCATTAAAATAATGGTAACATGCCTTTCTCTTTGTTTCGATTCTAAAGATATATCACGCCTAGCCACCAAGCTATGGGCGCGGCTAATCCAAAGCAATCATCAAAAGACAGTACCATAATAAAGAATGTCTTAATGTTTATTTGTAAACATAGACAAGCGCCATTCAGAACCAGAACGTATTGGTTGGTTATTCACTTATAACATAACCAGCTCGTTTAATACGCATAACCTTTACATTTTCATAGGTACAGATTCTTACCACGTGTTCTTTTCCTGCGTGTTAAAGGTTGTTACGTTCATTTCATCTACAATTTTTCTTCTTAAAATTAATTTGCCGAAGGCGATGATGGTCATCCGCGCAGTTGTATTTGGAACCTATAACTTCGTTTACATTTCTAATGCTAAAATTTACAATAAAGTATGATGACGAACTTGCATATGGGTTAAACTGAGTTTTACATCAAAACATTTAGTCATTACTTACTTTATTTGAGAAAATGGTGCTTGTATATATTTTTGAGAAATAAAGTAACCGAATGGAACACATTATCTGACTGGTTAAGGGCATTTTGACACACTACGTCCAAATAGTTTAATAAAAGTGGATGACTTCGTCGCTAAGTGGCATATCTTATCTGAACAGAATATGGAACCACCCTTGACCAGTTACAATCATAAATTTTACCATATTGTGCATATAGCCCTCAGGAAGGAATGAGTCACTAGGCGACAATAAAAATAAAAATAAAACATGACAGGGGGAGCCAAATGAGGCATCTCGAAATCCAGGCAAGAGATTAATCAGGACTTTATTGGCTATGTCAATTTTCAAACTTTATTACAGTGGAGATCACGTGCTATCGCCAGTGAAGAACTAAGTGTTGTTCATCATTTTTGTGCCTGGGCACGATGTTTTATTTTCAACCCTCAATACATCACTTTAAATTCTATAAGGACAAAGGTAGGCAACACATCATACAATTTTGTTAAACATCCAGTTTTTTTCGAACACCGGCTTATTTTAGTAATTATGCATAGAACAAATTCCATTTATTATTGGAATTTGGATGCATTTCACTAATTACACCATACTCGATAAACCGCCAAATTATCGCACTTGTTTTGATAAATTGTTAGAGGAGTTGGTCAAGGGCATTCGTCTGTGAAAAGGATGTGATGAGACAATGGGCACTAAAGGAAACTCGGCCCTCTTTCCTTTCCAGTGACAGGTCATCAATTCTGCTCATCAAAGACCTTGACATTTTTCAAATTTATAGTACCCAATTTAAAACTGCTCTGAATAAAGTAGAATTAAATGGGTGTCAAGCTCACAACTCTGGGTGCAGTATTTTTGAGTGACCGCGCTAATGCAAGATAAGGGATTGGGAGCTTCACCCCACCATAGTCGGAAAAATGCTAACCTCTTTTCCATTCAGCAGGTCACTTTTTTACGCAAAAAGCACTAGACTGTACGTACAAGGCATGAAGGATGAATCCAAAACAATGGGGTATGTTCATAAAAAGAGCTTTTACGATTCGCCGCAAAGACAAATTTTGGTTGATCCATGGTCGGGGGATATCACTAGTATAGCGTTCTTTCACGATGGACTGGACTCATGGTGGTTTTCGAGAGCCTGGAGACATTTTGGTACATTTCGTGTACCACCAGTGAGTAGCATGTTGTTATGAGGGTAGCGCAAATTTAAAAAAGACACTAGTGAAGTGGAAAGACTATAAGCACTACTTCGATATCCACCCTTTAGTTCCACTCACTAACAAACAAAGTGCTCTCAATCAGTAGTGGCATCGTTGGGGTTTTAATTGAGATTATTTCCTTCATGTATAGTAAAAGCATTAGAATTGCTATGGTTACTGTCCATATTTCAACGATTAATTTGCAACGTACCGCGGCTAAAAATATGTTAAAATTTTATCGCTCCTGATTGTATTAGTTTCAAATATCAAAGATGCTTAGACAAATCCAAACTAGCTGTTGCTTAGATACGAAACTGTCACTCCGAACAAGTCTACCTAATGTGCTAATTTCGAATGCACTTATCTCTTGCGCGATGTTCAGTTTTGGTGCAAATTCTTTCGCAAATTTTGAAACCGCTGTCAATATTTATTCAAGAAATAATCATGCCGAATTTCCCGCGTGCTTAAAAATAACCTGATTAAATTTTGTCGTTTTTCGTCAAATTGTTTTGCTAAGAAGAAGTACTTCTCGTCAATTTTCCACCCAAAATCCCTCGGAATTTTGTTACGTTGCAAATTGACTCGCCGTACTTCTAAGCAAAACATTTGACGAAAACGTCAAAATTTAATCGGCCATTTTTATGCACTTGGGATATTACTGTTGATTAATTGTCACATGGCTAGAGAAATGGGAATAAAAACTGAACAAATCGGGAAGGTGAAAACGCAAAGTGCAAACTTTAGCATTAATGAGCACTTCCATCAAAACCTCTGGATATAGAGCAACTGGCAATATTCCAGCGTATGTGTACCTATCATCAAGCAGTAGAACAAAGAATTGAAGGAATGTACGAAATCAACGTTCTACTCAGCTTTCAGTCCAAACCAAAGTGCCTAGTAGCTCTATGTGGAGAGGACTACACTGTAGTTACCCTCAACAAACAGCGCTACAAAATTTGCGAAAAAGTCAGTCTTCCCATATTTTGTATTTTTATTTGTCAGGAAATTATATGATCTACAGACGTCGTTCTGTACTTCAATTAAAGCTAATACATTTCCTACGACACTTTTCTCTAGGATTTTTCCTGTAAAATGAGTATTTTCCTCGACATTTAAAAATTTCACTTTTATGTATTGAACCTACAGCGCTGGTTCTAGTCAAACATTGTAGCAATGTTGGATTATTTACTTTATTTCACTAATAGAAAATATTTTAAACCAAACGCATAGTTAACAAAACAACTGCAAAATTAGCACAGCTTTCTTGAAGCCGATTCTGCAAACTTTAATATATTGGCCTTCCACTCAGTTGAACAAGGCTCAACTATCACATTTATTTTCTAATGTTGAAAATAAACTCCAATTAACTGTAACAAAACCCACCAATTTGCATAATCTTGATGCAAAGGTGCAACGCTCGGTAATTGATTGGAATGTTTCCTTTTTCATACACCTAGCTACATTTTGGGCTGTAGAAATGTCCCAAACCGTTTGCAGAAGAGCTAGGGGAACAAAAATTGGGTGCATCCAGTCACCCTTTACACCCGGACACTTCCCATCGTTTAAAGGTTCTTTAAAAATAGTTTTTAACGCAGAGTTCCAGCGCGTGCAATTAACTGTGGTAGTACGTGCTGCTCCTTCATTGATAAAGAGTGTTATGTACGTTATTTTGTTTCTTCCCTTGTCCTAATGAAACCCCTTACGCATGTGGGCGAAAAGTTGACTTTTCGTTCAACTTTGACACTGTCCTTGTGTTGCGGAAAACTCTACAAACATTTTTACTCACTCGAGGAAATTATACTCCTTTACAATGTAAATTATATTAAATCTTCGTCATCGGTTGAACGCCGACATAATTTATTTTTTATTTAGACTTTAAATACACAAGCTCATATGGTAAATACTTCTTACTTTTAAGATTTCAAATCGTAATTGTAAATATTAATGCTTTCCTACAGCTCCTGCGTGCGAGAAGAGCAAGCACAGCTGATATTCATGTCTAAAGCAATTTATTGGTATATATTAATAAAAAGGTGTTCATCTTTATATATCTAGAACTTTACCATATTCTAGTGGCAGGTGGACTATGCGTACTATAATTGCTAAGTACATTAGTAAAATCTTCCTTAGATTTTGTTTACAGGGTCCACAAGCTACCCTTTAAGTGCCTATAGAAGTATAGCTTCTCCCCGTTTCAAAAAGGCCCATAAGTATACTCCTTTTCCGCTTCAAAAATTACAGTTTCACATAAATAATCCGTTTATTTTTGTGATACCTATTCTAAATAGTTTTACTTCCCTGTTTGTCTTTGTTTACGCCACCCTTTACAAGCATATAAAGGTGTAAACCCTTCCCATTTTAAAAATAAAAGGTTTTGATGAAACTGACTTTTTAAAATAAAAATTCGTCTATTGCGAGGGCTGTAAGTTTTATGATACTTGAAACATTTTTGTTTCCTGGTTTGGTACTGTTTAAAGGATCCACAAGCCACCCCCTCGCTGTAATTTTGGTAGTACCTACATATAATATTTATGTTTCCTTAATTGATTTTGCTTAAAGGATCCACAAAAGGCCTTGTTTAAGTGCACATAAAGTATAGCCTCCCCCCCGTTTCAAAAACTACAAGTTCTTTATACAAACGCACTTTTATAAAAGGATTCGTCTATTGTGAGTGCTGTAATTTTTGCAGTACATTCAATACTTTCGTTTCCTTATTTCAATTTGGTTACAGGGTTCAGAAGCTCTTTTTCAAAAATTACAATATTTTTAAGGCAACCAACTTTTATATAATTTTCCTTGTTTGACTGCTTTTACTAATTAAATTTGTATGTATGTGGAGTTGATTGGGGAAATTTATATTTCGTATTTTGTGAAGAAACCCTTAAAATAATTAACCATAGTTTCCAGAGGAGCCAAGACTACGTTCTAGGAAGGGCTCAGCTCCGCCTGGCCACCCCCTAGCTATATTCAGCGCCCCTCAAAGGAAATATTAATTTCATATAAGAAGTTTTACTAACTTGGACCACAACATGGCCTAATGATAAAATGAACATGAGATTACTAAACAAATTCCCCACACGGTTATTGGTTGTGCGAGCTTTTAAAATCATGCCCCCTAGGTCTGACAAACTTAGGGCTTACTTTTAAAAATGTTTGAGCACTTTTGCACTCCACGAAAGTCAATGTTTTATTACAAAATTCTTCATCTTCATAGACCATGTATACATTTCAAATCTATAATCTCGGAAAAATCGGATCCCTAAAATGGCGGAGCCCATATATTTCACGGGGTTGAGGACATTTTAAGAACAAATATCTATAAAGAAGATTCAAACCTCGTTCGTTAACGCTCTCCTAGATAATAGCTACATTAACTCAGTTTGTTTATTGTCGCCAAATTTAACACATATATGCTTTTGATTTTAAAGTTCCATATTCTAAGCCAGAGTATGCCCAATAACCGAAATTTCGCCCTATTGCTTAATGATTTTGCGCACCTACCATTAAATTTCATTAAATTATATTTTTTCAAACCCTGCATACGATACCTACGAGGATCTGAAAACAATTTATTATAAACTAAAAAAGTGTAACATGTCCTTAATCTGAATATTGTCCTTTAAATGCACTGGAGCTTACAAAGAACGTCAAACACGGTACAAAGTTACACAGAAATCGAAATATTTAATTTGAACTCCCGTTTGGATCCAATCTAGTCCCTAGTACTGCCAAACATGTACAGCTTTGGACTATTACGACTCGCGTGCTCTGTATGCTGTACCTATTCTTCAATCAATAATGGGTAGTAAAGACTTAAATTAGAGTTTCATTTTTAAATCACGAATTAGATCCTCTATATCGATTTTGTCATGTCTGAATACACTATACAAGACAGGCAGTTGTTAGACCATAAAGTAAACAACGTTGTTAGACTTGGAATCCATCGCTGTTCGGGATCATCGAAGACAGAATCCTATTTACCGTGAAGAGGATCGATCAGTCTTAGGAGATACGATGCGGATTGCAGCTGCGCTTTTAATGTGGGCACTAAAAGCCATCAATTTAATTTTTGAAAGGTACCTTTTGTGTTTAGTTTCATATTATTTAAAAATGCTTCATTTTTAATGTATTTAAAATGTGTCCAGTTTAAACTTGCAGCAAACTTCAAAAAAAGAACAGTACAAATATCTATCTATGAGTGATAGGGTATGCAGTCAACCAAAATCAGTATTGCTTCAAACCTTAGATCAGAGTTGGAGTGTGTTCCCCATTGAGGCGCAAATAGTGAAATTAGGGGTTATTTTATCTTTTTTATTGTTCTTGGTAGAAGAGGCTTCATTGTAAAAGAAAAACCACTAAACTATAAGTTAAATATGGTCGCTAAATCGAATTTAAGGGAAGACTACACTGTCACTTACACAAATAGCGCACTTTAATTTTAATTGCTAAATAGAATGAGGTGATTCACAGTATTACGCTTACTGATGTCAACGCATTTTTAATATTAATTCGAATACAATCTTGAGCTGATTTAGAATCAGAAGACTTCATTCGTTTAAAAACTTGTTATGTGAACGTGGTTTGGCGATTCAATCAATCAGTTCGTCAGTATCGTCCCGCTTCGATGTTTTTGTTCGCATGCCCTCCTTTTTTATTCTGTACATAGCATCCCAACAAAAATTGCTCGTCAAATTCGACAGGAGTCAAATGTAAACCCATGATTATTAAATGATTGGGGGAACATTTTGACCAGTACATCCGTTACAGGTAAAAAAATAACTGACCGGATAATTGAAATCTTGATGATATCAAGATATGACAATAATCTAGTTTTCATTGATACAAAGTGATTAAAATCAAAAGAATTCAATATGCTTTCAAATAACTATCACAAGATACCATTTCCATTGATACTTTTAAGATAAGTAGCTTTACGTAAGGGGATAAAATGTAAAATCACGTTTAATTTAATTTGACGTATTCCTGAATCATGTAAATTGATTTATTAGGATGATACTAGCATGTGCAACTTTTATTTGGTACACCCTGCATGCTACAACGTATATTTTATCACAGAGACAGCTTGAGCCACTCAGTGTCCAAAACGTTGCAAATGTGCAAAGCTTATCAAGCAAGAAAATCCCCAATTAACAGTTTTTTCATTCTGCTCTCTTGGTATAGCAGATCATGCAATTAATGGGTATTGTATGCACCTTTCTTTAGTGTTATAGGTCAAGTTGAAGTTCCAATTCTAAATATTAAAAAACTTTAAAGTCTAAAGAATTACCAGGTGAAGTAAAACTGGGCCAAAATACTATGTCCAGTTGTAGATAACAATAACACTAAGCAAACAGAGCACATGAAGTACTATTGCATTATTGCAAATATTTACTTTGTGAAATGTTGCGTATCCCTCAGTAAAATTTTCTGTTTTAATTAGTAAAATTGCAAAATAATTCTATTACCATAACTAATCACGTTGTGACGTTAGTGTTATAATTACCTTCCAAGACGTGGCGTACAGACTTATTTTTTACAGAAACATAAATTGCATAATGAATGTAAATACTGGGTGCAAAATACATGATGATTCATGTTTGCTTCAATTTGGATATATTTATACTACGAACGATTCATTATTCACCACGTATTTGTATGCGACCGTAACTATTCGACTATGGCAAATAGGTAGGTACCTATTGTGTCAATCAAACCATAATAGTACTATCCGTGTTTGAATAATTTTTTGGAGACACTCGCATGTCTTATTTTGATACTCCAACATCCAAAATCACAATAATACTATTTTTGTTTGATAATTGAGGGTATGTTAAAAAATCCCTAACAACAAAAAGATCATTAGATTGGAAAATATTCACAAACACTGAAAATACTGAATTGCAAAGATTCTATTCCCATTTATTTGTACCTATTAATGCAATTGCATTAAAAAGGTTTTAAACACTCTTCTTCCATTGACATGTGATGAAATGAACATGTTACATTGTAAATTCAGATATAGTTGCTCCATTTACAACGCAGCAATGCTGAAGAATGAAAACGATACAATATAAATGTAATGATGGAATTGAACACAGTGATTCGCGTTGTTCAGTGGCATCCCCTGCATCTTCATTTCCAAGCAGTTTATCTGGCTTAACAATTTCTTTGTAACTTCAAATCCATTAGCGGAAACTCAACAGTCTCAATTTAATCCAAACAAAATTTCCAAACAACTCATACGTAACGAGTTAATTGCATGTAAAATTCTTTCAAGCACACCTGTAGTTGTACAAACGTCGGCCGATCTTCAGGATGCATAGCCCAGCAGTAAGCCATCACTGCAAATCTACACAACAATTTAAAAACAAAATTATGTCTTGGAATTACTTACAACTCATCAGGACAATTAATGGGTTGAGCTAATCGATATCCGTCCTTTAAATAAGCCGACATTTCAAACGGATCTATTTCAACATATGGTTGTTGAGCGAGTGTAGTTAGTTCCCATAAAAGTACTCCAAATGACCAAACATCGGAACGTGTGAGGAATGTTTTGCTTATCAAGCCTTCTAGTGCCAACCATTTAATGGGCCGATTTTCGTTATCACCCAAACAATGGTAATCTGATGGAAATAGATCGCGCGATAAAGCGTTATCTGTTATCTGAACTTTCAATCTACTGTCCACGCTGAAATAACTAATTATTAAGGTTTGTGATGAGAAACGCCAACTTACACGCAGTTACGGGCAGCGAGATCCTTGTGTAGTATTTGCTTTTTGTGCATGTAATTCATTGCCTCTATAATTTGCAGAGCCATATCAACCACTTCCTGCGTGGTTAGCGTGTGGGCGACCCCTTCGGAACACATTTTACATTTTTGAAGGAACACTTTTAGATTTGTATAGTTATGAAAAGGATACAGCAGAAATGGGGGAGAATTCTCTTGAAACGAGACCCCCAATATACTTAGAATGTTTGGGTGCTTCAAAGCGTACATGGACATTCCTTCCTGTAGCAATAGTGAAGTTTGAATATGAGAAGCGTGATCCGTCACTGTTTTGACGAGAACCTCTTCCTCCTCCGACCCTTCATTTGTGTAAGTTCCATGGTACACTCTACTGAACGTTCCCTCCAGCACCACGTTTTGCAAACAGACGCGGCATCTTTGAATCGTGAGTTCTGCCACGCGATCCTGAAGATCTTTTGATGTTGGACGTTCCTCAATTAAAGAATAGCTGGGCATTCTACGGAAACTACTGTAGGATGATGACGTCGTGGGATTGCGTATTGTTGTAGGAAGAAATGACGTAAATGATTGGTTTGTGGGAGGCTCATCAGCTGTTGTCGGTTGTTTATTTCTAATGTAGACGCCCGCAATACACATTATGGACGTTGCAGCCAAAATTCCGGCGCAAACCGCTGCGTAATAAAATATTTTAACAGAACTAGTACGAATAGTTACTGCGTCGACTGCTTGAGTGTTTAGAGTATTTTCGATCTTCATACAAATTTTCTTTCTTCGTATTTTCAGGGCTACTGGTATTGGAATCAATGCAATATTGATTGAAATTAGAACGTCGGATTCGGAACTTAAGAATCCCTTACATGGCATGTGTATACTAAACGTTTGTTCGTTTGTGGGTACCAGTCCAGTTTTTGAGATATTAAAGTCGAGTCCTTCAAATGCTTCACGCTGCTGTACATCTAAGTTTACATTGTACTGTAGCTGAAATTGCAGTTATTAGTATGAGATAAGTTTGTAATTGTAGGACCTACCGCCAGATTACCCAAATTTTGCCAGGTAAAATGCAATGAATCAATTTTTGAAGAAACAGGTATGACAAAATTGAGGGCGTGCTGATTAATCACACCATTTCTCACATAGTAAAGCTCAGCATCCAAACCTGTAAAACGTAATGTAATTACTAATTAGAATACAATTTTTAACAGCTAAGTTAAATGATTGACTCTGTTGAGATAGTGTTCCATTTTAAATTATTTGTGTAATTATATCGTACGTATGTAATTGAAAACATTGAAATAATTGAGATTATATATATTATTTTCTTCGGTAATCGATTACGGGTTATTGATTCTTCATCAGACCTTGCTGAAAAATATTTCAGCAAGGTCTGATGATGAATCAGTGATTCAAAATTTTCAATTACATATGTATAATTAAATTATTTAACTGAACACGTCCGTTGAAATAACAGAAACAACAGTATATACCCTTCAGCAATTTTACATACGCAAGCGCAGCTAAACTTAGTAGTAGATACATATACTTCAAGAAACAAACTTCTGCTTCCAGTTTTGTGGCAAAACATACAAAATACATACATACATTACATACATAACATGTGTAAAAGTGTTTGGCCGTTTTTGAGATTAATAAGGGATGCAATGGATTGGACCAGAAAATCCTTTAAATTTCTCATAATCACTGTGTCATACAGTACTGGAAAATGACCATAAATAGGGAATGCAATACAGGGATTGCGGGATCCCGAAATACCGGGATCCCGCAGCATATTTGCGAGATTAATCCCGCACATAAATGGAGCGGGATCCCGCGGGATTTGCGGGACTGAGGAATTTGTCGACCAAGGGGACGACTCTGTTTACTTTGTTAATGAAACTGATAACGGTGAATTATTTTTTGGTGAATTATTTTTTAAATAATTGTTAAACTTTTTTCGTTAAAAATGTACTATGATTTTTGAGGCACTTTAGAAGACTTGTTGTGCTTTACAGGTAAGGTTTTTTTGAGTTCTAAGTTAGGCCGAAGGTACTTTGTTAAATATTGTGATAATTAGCGATTTATTGTAATACAGAAGTTAACCGCACAGAATTGCTTATATGCCAATTTATTTAAAGTTTTGCGAGATCCCGCAAATTCCGGGATCCCGCGGGATTAACATCTAACAATCTCGCAAATACCGGGATTGAAATTTTGCTGCGGGATTGCATTCCCTACTAGAAACCAATTTCGAAAAAAATTCAAAGGGCTGTAACTTTTGAACTAGTAGCCCAATCTTGGAACTGTTTGAAATTATGGATTCTACATGCCACATTCTATAAGAAAATTCTGTTTCCGGGTCGATCTGAGACAATTTTTTTTTCGGACCTCAAAAAAGGCAGTGTATAACCTTCCTTTTTAACAAATATCGACTGCACCAAAATTTCTCGGAAAAACACTTTTTCCTATTAATTTTGGTGCGTAGAATCCAAAACAATTCGTACTTTTTCGATCAGACTTCTCAATCAAAAGTTATAGACTAGAAACCAATTTCGAAAGAAAATTTAAAGGGCTGTAACTTTTGAACTAGTAGCCCAATCTTGGAACTGTTTGAAATTATGGATTCTACAGGCCACATTCTATAAGAAAATTGTTTTCCGGGTCGATCTGAAACAATTTTTATTTCGGGGTTCAAAAAAAGGCAGTGTTTAACCTTCCTTTTTTACCAAAAATCGACTGCACCAAAATTTCTCGGGAAAACACTTTTTTTTATTAATTTTGGTGCGTAGAATCCAAATCAATTCGTACTTTTTCGATCAGACTTCTCAATCAAAAGTTATAGACTAGAAACCAATTTCGAAAAAAATTTCAAAGGGCTGTAACTTTTGAACTAGTAGCCCAATCTTGGAACTGTTTGAAATTATGGATTCTACAGGCCACATTCTATAAGAAAATTGTTTTTCCGGGTCGATCTGAGACAATTTTTTTTGAGGGCCTCAAAAAAGGCAGTGTACAACCTTCCTTTTTTACCAAAAATCGACTGCACCAAAATTTCTCGGGAAAACACTTTTTCTTATTAATTTTGGAGCGTAGAATCCAAAACAATTCGTACTTTTTCGATTAGACTTCTCAATCAAAAGTTATAGACTAGAAAAGAAACCAATTTTGAAAGAAAATTCAAAGGGCTGTAACTTTAATAATAATAATATAATAATAATAATAATCTTTATTGTTGTTAACACAAAAATTTTTTGTTTACAAACGTCAATTCTGAAAAGGATAAAAAACAAGGGACAAAAACATTTAATGACTAACTTACATTGAAATCGGATGAGGACCATTGGCAGCTCAAGAATTCGTTAATGTCGTAAAAACTTTGTTTTTTTAAAAATGTCTTAATTTTAGTTTTGAAAGTTTTGGATGGTAGCCTTACTACGTTGCGAGGTAACTTGTTCAAAAAACGAGGACTGTAATAATTGGCCCCATATCTACTACATTGCAATCTCATATATTGATGCCTCACCAGTTCACCACCCCTGGTACGGTAATTATGGATTTGATTTTGTAGAGTATAGCAATGTGATTGTTGCTTAGCATACAGTAGACACGCATATATACAGGGTGTTTTTTTGGGATCTTTAGTTAAACGTTTCTGGGAAAGTAAAATAGGTAACTTTTTGAAAATTTGTACTTAGGAGTTACTCTGAAGACCGAATCGATGTAAAATATTTTCAAAATGGCCACACTTCCGGAAACACCGGAAGTAGATAGTAACTTCGTTATATTAAATGGCAACCCCTATTTTTTATTGCATTTTTGGATTCTACGTAAAATTTCAGTTCTTTTGATACCCACATGTCCACATCTGCCATTTATGGTTTTTAAGTTATTTTGAGTTTATGAAAAAAAATGGCGGATGCAGATGGTACCATGATAATTGATTACTTGAAAACGGTTATAGTCATGGCAATCCATTTTTATCAGTGCATAGAGAATGAATAGGGCTTTCTTTTAGTGTACTTAAAAAAAAATTAAGTTGCGTACAATCGCACCTATGGAGATCCAAATTTAAGAAACTTCAAAGTCCAAAAACTCAGTTCTTTTGAATGGAATGACCATGTTCTTACTATTGCATGAGATAGAGAATTGAAATTGGAATATTTTGATATTACATGTTCCTATAGCTATCTTTAACATTTTCTGATTTATTCCCATTTCATTGAATTGATGCCATTTTTTTGCATTTTCATTTTAGCAGTTGGCCATGATTTTATAACAATCGAATTTTAAACACATCAAGAAAAGGATTTTTTAATATCATTGATTCTAGTCTAAATAATTCATTAATAAATAAGTCATTCATTAAGGATATAGGACGGAAAATTTTTGAGAAATCTAGACAGAGTCGTTCAACTGAATTTCTTAAACAACGTATAAGTGTAAAAATTCAGAGAGGTAATGCGATATCTGTTCTAACAACAATTCCATACAAAAAATTTCAACGTAGTTTTTTATATTTTACATTGAATTTATTTTGTTAATCTTGCATTTGCAATTCAATTCATTTTCTTAAATATTCACTTGTGCTTCAACGGTTTGTAGTGCATTTGGGGATACATTTCCAAAATTCATACAATTTCGTTCCAGTGTTTGAATGAATGTACGGCAAGCATGTGCCGCGATTCTGTCCATTTCACCATAAATAACAATTAAATTCAAAAATAGGTAATTTTTCGATTTTTGAAAAACTTATGTTAACCTATAACAGTAGGTGACGGATTAGTGTCACTAGAATTGTTTAAAATTCAATTGTTATAAAATCATGGCCGGCTACTAAAAAGATAATTCGAAAAAAATAGTGTCAATTCAATAAAATGGGAATAAGTCAGAAACTGTTAAAGATAGCTATAGGAACATGTATTGTCAAAATATGCCCATTTCGATTCTTTATCTCATGCAATATTAAGAAAATGGTGATTCCATTTAAAAAAACTGAGTTTTTAGTCTTTGAAGTTTCATAAATTTGGATCTCCATAGGGGCGGTCTTACGCAACTTAACTTTTTTTTAAGTACACTAAAAGAAAGGTGTATTCATTCTATATGCACTGATAAACATAGGTTGCCATGACTACAACCGTTTTCAAGTAATCAATTATCAAGGTATCAGCTGCATCCGCCATTTTTTTTCTTAAAGTCAAAATAACTTAAAGACCATAAATGGCAGATATCGATATATGGGTATCCAAAGAACTGAAATTTTACGTAGAATCCAAAAACCCAATAAAAAATTGGGGTTGCTATTTAAAATAACGAAGTTACTATCTACTTCCGGTGTTTCCGGAAGTGCGGCCATTTTGAAAATATTTTACATCGATTCGGCCTTCAGCGTAACTCCTAAGTACAAATTTTCAAAAACCTACCTATTTTACTTTCCCAGAAACTTTTAACTAAAGCTCCCAAAAAAACACCCTGTATACAAACATGGTAACGTGAGTATATCCAAAGAGCTGAATTTACTCCTGATATCTGCTCTGTAAGGGGTTCCTGTAATAGCGCGGAGAGCCCGGCGTTGAAGGCCAAATAATCGCTTCGAATGATGAGAGTGTCCCCAACAAAAAATTGCATAGTTAATGTGAGAATGTATTAGACCATAGTATGCTAAAACCAGAGTTTTCACGCTTACCTGTCCATATAGCCTCCGTATAACATATATGTTACGGCTAATCTTAGTGGAAACGTAGTCAACATGAGAGGACCAGTTTAATTTGGGATCTAAATAAACACCCAGGAATTTCACCGATTCAACACTGTTTGCATTTTCTATTTTATGCGAAAAAATTAACGTTTGAGTTTTTTTCATATTCATATATAATTCGTTTGCATGGAACCAATCTGCAATTTTCCTAATCGATTGTTCTGCGACCGCGGATGCCTCCCCCACATCGTCACGCAGCTCTGAAACAGTAGTGTCATCGGCGAACAGTGTGAGATGAGCATCGGGTACGGCGTGATGTATATCATTAACAAAAATTAAGAATAATACCGGTCCCAAAATGGACCCTTGTGGTACCCCCCTATTTACACTTATAAAAGTAGATGTACATCCATGAACGTAAGTGCATTGCTTTCTGCCACATAAATATGAGCGAATAAGTTCTACACTAATAGCGTCAAATGCGTAGTGGTTTAGTTTATTGATCAGTATGTCATGTGCAACGCAATCGAATGCCTTTTGCAAGTCACAGAATATGGAGACTGTGCACAGACCAGCTTCAAAACCATCAACGATCATTCCTACTAAGTGGTTTTGAACTAGTAGCCCAATCTTGGAACTGTTTGAAATTACATGACGCGGAAGCTTATTGAAAAGTACGAGGCGTCCGAGTATCTCTTTAATGCCTCCAACTCAGGTGGACTCACTTTCATGACGTATTATGTATAAAATTTTACCTGAAACCACAACATGTAGGTAACATTTCCAAATTAAATTATTTATATGTGTGAAATTTTGATACTTAATCACGCATGCTAAAATCACGTTATTTAATTGTTTCCATAGAGATTTCAAAATAATTAAAACAATCAGTGTCATTTTTAATGCAGTTTGCAGTTTACGCGTTGTACTTTTCAACTATACAGTCTTTATAACTAGGCAAAAATATTACAGTACTAGTCAGGTAAATATCAACTTTTTAATGTCAAAATAGCCCTGAAATTTAGATTTTCTTGACGGTTTCAGATAAAACTCTAAAAGTATACCATTTAGTTCTCCTTTAAAATACAGAATTGAAAAAACCTGATTGGCTGCTAACCTCAGAATAAATTTTTTAGGCACAGTATAAAAGATCTGCGTGGAGCGTACCCACAATACTATAATTGTGTAATTGGTCGATAACCAAAGCTTACTTACGGAAAACGTTGCCTCCGCAGTTGTGGAAACAGAAAGTCTATCGCTGAGATTTCATAGTTACGGTTTCTTCATTATCATTTTGGAGAAAGTATGGACCAATGGAGAGGTAATTCATGTGTCATTTGGGTTTTAGGGTGTTTCGTCAAAGATTATTAAATTTCTCAAAAAATGTACGCCTGTATAAAGTTCAGAAGCCTTCTACAAAACTGTGCTCGTAGATTTGAAACTTAAGGCTTTAGCTCTTGTATGAACTGCAGGTTGTATGAACGAAAGTTTAGATTAAAATGCGACAAACATCCTTCTAATACTTCTACTCGACATCCAATAGCAGCAGAGTATTTCTTTACTCCATTTGATTTTGGAATGGTCGTTTAAGTCTTATGGCTTCATCTGGGTGTAGTGTACTTCATTGACTTACGGCTAATGTTAATCTGTTCTTCTTACGTATTTTTGGTGTTATTGCTTTTTAATAACAGTATATGTAACGTCGTAAATATTTGAACTGATAGCCAGGGCAATACTCACACCAAGGAAAATCTAGTAGGAATAAACAAGCAAGCGATTTCAGATTAAGAAGTTTGAATTATATAGGTAATTGTCACGAAACACTTTTTATAGTGATGAGAAAAACGCGCGTATTTCACTGTTGGTTGATGAAAAACAACTTCGTAAACTAACAAATAATTGAAAGTATTATTATTAGTAAAGATTATCAAAAGTAATAAAAACTCTTCCAAATTCCATATATTTTCCAGAGCCGTTTTCTGCAAACTTCATCAATTTCTGAAGTATTCGAATTGTGTCATCAATAATGATAATAGTCGCAAAGTAATACTATTCGATTTTTAACAAAAAATTCGATTGGAAATGCACTTACCAATAGGAGATATTTGTGTAACACGCATGCTCTTGAATTTTCTATTGATCAAAATATTTCTAACGGAATGGATAGGTATACTGTTACTACAAATAAAATTTTTTTTTTAATCTGTGCTTTGGACTAGCTAACATGAAGATGACCAAATTACTATGTACCTATCTAAGAGGTCATTCAGTGCTAATGGGAATAGGAAAGTAACTCGTTCCTCATCGCCTTATTAAACTGGTATACAATAAAGCAAAACTTAAAGGTAGGTCGATGTACTGAAGACAATGCTGTAAGGGTAACGTACAATTGCTTTGTTTTCATTACATTTAAAAATAATATTATACTCACCTAATAGCTTTTGGACCTCCTCGGAATTTATGAAAATATTTAACATTCCATTGGAAATGGGAACAAAAGAAGTAGTTAACAAAAATAATAGTATACACTGTATTACATTAGTATTCATATTAGTCACTAATAATTAAAACAATATTTCAAGGTTGTCTATTAAAGTTCCGACTACATTTTCGGCATATTAGAATTCGCACTGCTTTCTGTAAACAACTTTAGAGTTCAATAGTGGGAAGATGGCGCTTAACTAACTGCTGACTATACAAAAAATGAAACCTGAACCAACGCCCGTTACTGTGCTCTCCACCGAAAGCTTACGAACTCGTTGTTAAATCCCGAACTGAAGGGGTTCTTTAATTACTTATTTATTTTCACCTGAAAATAAACCATAGATCCTGCCAAATCCCAATTGACCTGAAAGATATAAAATCTACCCTTCGGTATCGAAAAAATTGAATAGTTTTGTCAGGTAACAAAAGGGAGATCTTTCTCTTCGGTTATGTCATATTGTAAAATTATACTACACCTACTACATTTTTCTTTTTTATACTGCATTCGACTTTCACATTATACAATAACTTGAATAATTTCCCTCACACTTTCTTTATATTTCGGTTTATGCCAACGCGAAAAAGCTATTATCACTATGAATTGCTTCGCAATATCTCAGAAAGTTGCATAAATGGTTATTCGTGGGCATAATAACCAGTCTGCATCATGTTTTTACACCACCTTTTTACCACTGTGTTTTCGCTTACTGTCCGTAGTAGTAGATGCAGCTCATTGATCGAAAAGAAGTGAACATCTTTTGAAAAGCAAAAAAGTCCAAATCGAAATTAGAATTCAAGCGTTATCAACGTCACAGACTGATTTCCAACTAGCAAAATGAGGACTACTAACACAAGGACGATGAAATGAACGTGATTGTATTAGATGATTAAAAATGACGAGTACATGAATTGGTTTTCCTAATTGCAATGCAATGAAAATTAATAAATTCCATGCTTGTTTGTATACACGGGGGTCTACCATTTGTATGCATCACAATGCCAATTACAAAATAAGAGAAAAATATATGTCCTTCACTAACTATAAACCCACAATTAGCTGGGAATCCAAAGTGCACTCTCTCTCAGAGGGATTTTTTTAGGACACTTGCCGCTTAAATAAAATCGCAATTATACTACAAAAATTATATACCACTTCACACAAATTTACGCTGGATTTTCGAGGAAAATACATTTCTACATCTCCAAAGCTTTCAGAGATGAACTACTCTAGAAAGGGGGAAATTTTACAGCGGTATATCGCAAGTTTGGAAATTGGGATGATATAAGAGACGCTCTACAACAAATAAATATAAAAGTCATCTTCTTGCAACCATCGTTCAAGGAAGACAGTTACTTTGACAACTACGGTATTGCGATAGTCTTGATAGATTTACGCTGCCTCAATAAAAAGATGTACTAGATCGCTCATAACACATGGACTTCCTTATGCCAAAAATCTACTTCCTGACAATTTTAAAGTTATTTTTTCTATTTCGGTGTCACAATGATGATTTTGTACAACTGTTTTCGGTCTAAAACAGTTGTACAAAGACAGTGATTATACTCTTTTTTTTTGGTAACTCATATCTTAAGTTGGCAGTTACTAGTTAGTACAAGTAGGTACTTCGTTGGGTACTTCCACGTTTGAACTTCAAAATGTCAGTCTTACTACGCTGCCAACCTAAAACTTAACGGCATAAAAAGTGTTCCCAACATAAAACATGTTAGTTCTAATGTTCCCTATAGTTTCTGATAATGATTTTTTTAATTAAATTAAAGCACCGAAATAGAAAAAATAGTATGAAAAACGCGTGTTACAATGCTTTATTGTAATACTCCTATCTTGCGGACACTCGTGGCTACGCTTCGTGTCGCCACTCGTGCCACAAGATAGTCGTATTACAATAGGTCACAACACTTGTCTTTCAATATACTATTATCGTTTTGAACTCATTTGCAAATGTTCACATTTTGTACATTCTTAAATTGTGTAAAAACAAGTTTTCTGATCACGGCCAATTCTAACATTTTTAGTGCACTTTCACTTTCAAAAAATAAGTGCGCTCTTGTCTGTCTGTCTGAGTTACAAAGGCTCCGGGACTACACCACTTACAGACTTGGTATTGGTGTCATTCGATCAGAAATTAAAAATTATTTCATGTTTGTATTCTCGTTAAGGTATGAAATGTCCATAAGGGCTATTAAAATCGAAAAAACAATTTGAAAGTGCTCACAAGCGGCTAAAGCTAAACGAATTTACTTTCACGTTTTCTGCTTCTATTGTATAGATCCGATATATTTATAGTTTTATACGCACAAGATGGAAATACATTTTAGTTGACCATGTTCTGGTTTAAGGGTCGAAGAAGATTGAATGAACAGAAATGATTAATATATACATGGGATTCATACCCCGGGAGAAACCTTTACACATAAAATACATCAAAGGAACAAAAGCGCATTGCCTGGCTACCAAAAATATTCGCATATTAATGCAAATATCAAATCGAACCCACCCTTAAGCTGTATCTGTAATTTCTCTAAAAATGTTTTTCTGATGAATCAAATGTTCACACGTGCTTCCTTTAAACTCCAAATCGAATTTCCAATTGCAGTTACCTAACATTACTAATCAATGTTAGGTAACTGCAATTGGAAATTCGATTTGGAGTTTAAAGGAAGCACGTGTGAACATTTGATTCATCAGAAAAACATTTTTAGAGAAATTACAGATACAGCTTAAGGGTGGGTTCGATTTGATATTTGCATTAATATGCGAATATTTTTGGTAGCCAGGCAATGCGCTTTTGTTCCTTTGATGTATTTTATGTGTAAAGGTTTCTCGACAATGATTAAGAAAAACGTGCTTGGGGATCGTTAATTGCGAGGGTAGTAATTCTTGCCAAATATTTTGGTTTTTTTTTAATAATGATATGTGAATAGTCCACACCCTATACCTGAGCATGAAAATACACTGGTTTCAAATTATTCGCATATTCAGTGTAGATGACCAATTGACCACCGCCTATGTAAGGCTGGTACCTACCTTTTACGATAGATCGATCTTTAATTTAATTACCCTAAAACTAATTTCTACAAAAGTAATTATATCTTTGCAACCATGACTGTCACGTAAAATCGAATTTCCCCAAACTAGGTAAAGGTTATGAAAGACAAGTAATTTCAAAACGTGCGCAGTTATAGGATAATGTGTAGTCCATTATGCAAATAATGAATCAAATAAAGAAAAATCATTAATGTAATGCTTTTGTAGCTTTTGTTATCCGTAAGAGTTGCTGACAGAATTTTTAAGCATAATGAACCAAAAAAGACAAAAATCAACAAAGTACCACCCTCCCAATAGAGCGACTCTCAATCATAATTTCCAAACCGTATAAGGTTACACTTTTATGAGCAGTTATAGGGAGGGTTGCGCTTACTCTAAAAACACAATCAATCAAAGACAAGAATACTTGATATAGCGCTCTCACATCTGACGGTTAGATACGAAAGCAATGTTTCTGAAAAGTTGTCTCAATTTCACAATGGTGAAAAGTTAGACGGCCCATTGAAACATAAGTACAATAAAATAAAAATAATTATGTACTACGGAGTTGAACTTTAATCCACGTTTAGGGGATTGTTCGTATATATTTAAAAATTACCGATCATTGTATAGACACTTGCCATATAATTGAAACTTCACTTCTCTTAAAAATTACCTAATTTCAAAAGCACCTTAAATTACACTTTCATGCCGAGTTATAAATGAACCCTTTAAATTGAACTAAGTGATGTAGTTATTGACTCTTTCCATAATCAGAGATATATACTTACACATTTCATAAAAATGCCATAGCCTCAAAACGACCTTTCAAACTAAACCTTCCAAATTAGAATTAGTTAGATACATATACTACCTTTGAAAGAGCGACATTTATTGAAAATGTACCTTTTAAAACGGTAAGAGGTGCGTAGTACTCTCGATATATCGAGTGATCGCCAGGTAAAATGGATTTTTAAAAAAAAATAACGTATTTCTCTTTGTATGCGCACTTGTAGGCCTTAGTCTAGTAAATCAAAAAAATAATGTTTGATGTACCACTCTCATAATGACAAAACTGCTAAGCGTTCTTCCTTTATAATTTCTTAATTTAATACGAAGGGTTACATTAGCCTTAAACATATTCAAAGGGCCAAAGTATATGACGTACCTTATTTTACCATATTTATTTCAACGAGAGTTAATTTCTGTTATTTACTAGGTACCTACTTATACTTTCAAATCTCTTATCAACCGCTGCCAAGCTTTTATGATAAAAATATTAATTAGGTACTAACATCCACCATATACAGGTGTTCTGCGATTGAAAACCTTGTCAGCATCGCCTAAGCTGAGTATTGCAGGTCACATCAATGTTACCCAGTGGCGTAGCTGCGTAACTCTTTGGAACCCGCGGCGCAATCAAGGTTTGTCGCCTTATATTCCAGGAGCTGATGAATACTTTGAGTTCCTCATCTTTAATTTAAAAAAAAAGAATTTCAATTTGTTACTCAGGATTGGAGTACTTTCAGATCAACTTTTAGTGAATTTAAAAAGGCAAAAAAATTTAATCCAGAACAGAAGGAGAAATTTAAACTATTTTTTATCAAGAATGTTTTAATTAAATATATGGCTCAAGTTTGTGGTGTCAGGTTTGTAGTGGAACGATTAACACGAGTTAAACCCGTGCTACAATTTTCAAATGGGACACAATGGGGCAATAAAAACATTCAGTACCACCTCATAGACCATTAAGAGGGCGTAAATTATGATTAATTGAAGCATGCCAATCATAAGTCTTAAATGAATAATTAATTTCAGTTTTGAAATGATGATCTGAAAATCTCACTGATCGAAATTTGTTAAAAAGATAACACTGATAACAGTAGTGTAAACATAGCAGAAATCTCTTCATCTTCAAGTCCATCGATGTTCATCGTTGTTACTTATAAAGTTAAAATATAAATACATATGTACTCGTACATCTTCTATTGCTTCCTACTTTTAGCTTTATTCAAACGCGCTCCGGGATTTTATTGGACGGCCCCTAATAAAATTGACATCACGCATTTTCTCATTATCTTTTTATCAATACATGTTAAGAAATACATTTGTTAGGCGTAATTTAGACTAATTTACATAAAACCTATTTTTATTGTAGGACGCAACGGAACGATGTCCGTTGTCCTCCACTAAAATTGATGAATGTTTCGAAGTGTAGGTATAAATGAAATAGGAAAGATTTAAATAACCTTCACTTTTAATGATAATTTAAACAGTAATTTTAAATTTGGTAATTAAAAATTTCGGTCAATTAAAATTTAACATAAAAAAACTCAAATACAATACAAATTACCTCCATTATAAAACGTCGAAATTGTAGCATCTCCCTAACATATTTCTCGTTGAATACATTTCTAATTTCAGTTTTAAGGCGTGATATTTGTGAATAAATTAAATAAATACCGTACACTTAAAAGGTCTACTAGGCAGCTTTGTTTAGAGCATGTCCTTCAATTTCCACCGATTCCATTTTCTTTTCTTCAGAATGATTCTCGCTCGGTTTGGGATCCTGAACTTCTTCTGAACTTGCAGACTTCTGCTGCTCGCCTACAACTTCAGGAACGGTAGAAATCGGGACTATTCCATGAGTTGCGTTGATATCGGATGCAACGAGAGCACATCCTTCTTGGTCAGTTTTAACGACAAATGCGCGATTGATTTTAAATTTATCTAGGACTCCGTATGTTCGTTGCATTACCGTGCCAGGTGCTAATCGTTCTCGTGTCATAACCCAAACATTCTCTATAAACGAAACGTAAATGCAGTCGGATTAAATAAGATTTTGGTAACGTTACGTGCATGGAATGGCCCAAATCCAGAGCAACTCCATATAACGGCGAAATTATCGTAATCCGTGTCTAATACAATTAATGTAGATTCTGTAGAAATTGGCGTGGTGGCATATTTTACATTCATTTTCCCTTCATTTTTTTTCCCGGAGAGTTCGAGGTGACCACCAATAACACGCTTAACGCCGGTGCTAAATTCGAATATATATATATAATAAAATTGTACGGTAAAGTAAAAGCATGAAACTTACATTCTATTAGTGACCTCATTGGATACGTATATTCTTCCGCTCGATGCTCTTGCATAATCGGTAACAACGCATCGGCTGGTTACATCCGAAAACGTAAAATAACGCTCAGATTCGTACCATTTACCCAAAAACCGATCAACTTCAAAATCTTCCATTGGCGTATAATCGGGACACCACCCAAAACTTGGAATCTGCGCCGAAGTAAATGCGACCGACAATAGAACAAAAACGGCACCGCTTTTGGCTCTCATCTTGCTATTATGAAGAAAGACACCATTTGCGGCATTTATATTATACACCGTTTACCGCTATTTGAAATGTAGGCACTATCAATCTCCGATGACTTTCAGCACCTTGCGTGACCGTAAAAAAGAATTTCCATTGGAATATGTCAATCTACATCCATTAATTAGTGAAATGACCGCCCATATCTTAACATTTAATTAGCAAAAATCAGTTGATTAACACCTGACGGCAACGTCCTATAATAACCTTCTGAACTGAAAACGGAGTTCCATACAACGGTTTGACAATATTCATTAATAATCCTTACATATGCCCGTTTGGTATTGTCCCACTGTTATCACGTACCTATATTGAACCTGTACATCTTCCGTGAGGTTTCCCGTAAATACCTAACTGTACATTAACGACAAGATGGTCTTTAAAGTAACTGTTGTCGCTCTAAATTAAGATATACAATAAAAACGCGCGTCGCTAATTCTTGCATTAATTTAGACCAACTTACGAACGAAACGATTTATTCAAACACAATATGTACAAAACTGTATAGGTACTAACTAATTAAAAAAATAATCTAAAGGCATTTGTACTACAATTTGCACAAAATCGTCTCATGGCTGCATCAAGATTTCTTCTAAAACGAGTTAATTTCATTACAATTTAAAAATGGTAGGTATCCGAAGTAAACTGTTTGCTATTTGGGAGAACGTAAAATTAGGGTAAATTTGGGCGTTTTCCCAGCGGTAGGATTTGTTTATAGCGCTTTATTGTAAATTTGAGAAATATGAGATCGCACCGAGATTAATCGTTATCGCGTAATTACACTTACCCCATACGCAACGGGGGCTCTGTCACTGCCTGAATTTTCTAAAATTTAGTTCTTTGGTCTGTAGTAAGTAAAATTATACAAAATATATACAGAAAAGCTAGAGGTGTTACTGAATAATTTAGTAGGTAGATATGCAACCACATAAGCGAACGATGCGAATTTTCAGCTGCCTATCGACTTTAAAATACACAGTATTTGTAAGCGCAGATATGAAAAATCACCCTTCGCTTATGCGTGAACAAAATGAAAATAATTTATTAACGTACTAATAATTTAAAAACGGAATTGGTCAGTTCGTTAAGGTTTAACACAACTTTAAATTCGGGCCAGCCGAATTGGCAATAAAGTTTGTGATTTGTCACTACTTAATAAATCGTAAGCTATATCGACTGAACACAACGACGGTTGACAATTATGTACATATTTTACAAAACTAACACTTTTAAGTAACTATCTGGCTTAACATAATAGGTCCCCTCATAATAATACCTCTCAGTGATGTAGGCACTATAAATAGGATCCCTGAGGGTTGCCTGCGAAAACTGAATTTTTAAGAAACAAAGGTATTAACGGGTTTGCATTATCACATTTTTTCCAAGAGACGCAAAAGCGGTCGTTCTCGAAAATGTATAGTGTACGACCGCAATTTTCGTCATCAATTACCTGTAATAAAATTTACTTAAGTTCGTGCATATTTTTACTTAGTAATAGGTTATTATGTGGTCCGGATAAATGCCTTATTAACTCAGGTAACGATTCAAAAGATAGGGGACAAAAACAACAGTTAAACCGACCAACATTCCCTTCGTTAGAAGATATCACATTACGATGCACAGAGCACAAATGTTTTAATAAATGCGCTTTTTGCTTAAACATGGCCACGCACAGTCGACATGCGAAAGGTTTTTCTCCTGTGTGTACCCTCAAATGAGTTTTTAAGTTCCACGACATTCCGAACTGTTTACCACAATATTCACAACGATATTCCCGCACCTGTCCGGCGTGTCCGCTTTGTTTGCTGCTATTTCCTGCGGAAGGCGAACTTTCATTGTTATCGTCACTACCGCCCACAAACAACACAGACGACTCCCGATTATCATCTCCCACAGGGTTTACTTGCGCCTGACACAACGACCATGCACCCCAAGTGTGCTCGAATTGCTGGTAAGATTCGGAAGAAATTCCTTGATCCGCGCTGGGAGGACGATATTTAACTACGACATTGTCGGACGGTCCAGATGTATCGGAATGCTGTCCTGGTGTAGGGGTGTGCGTTCTTTCAGCCACGAAAGGGGGCGCCGATAGAGAAAGAGGGTGATGCGCTGCCAGCAGAGGATGTCGCACCGTTTTGTAACGATGCCGATGTACCCCGTCGTCGATGTAAGAGGGTGAAAAAGGAACAAAAGGCGGATTTTGAGCTGGAGAGTTATGAAATCCCGGCCTTCTCTTTCGGTGCGGTGTCACCACGTAATTATCCGGACTTTGTACTAATGACATTAGTTCTTGTTCTCCACTAGGTGGTTTTAAAGGGACGAATTCTTCCTGATGTTTTAAATCGATTGGTTCGATGTACATGGTTTTGCGTTTCACTCGATGGTGGTGGAATTGGGATAATTCGTGAACCTTTGGCGCTATTTTTACTGTGGATTGTCCGATTTTTAATGTATTTACAAGTTTCTGTCCCGCTTTCTGTAAAGAGCGAAATAAAGAAAATGAAAGTGGTTACGGCTCTCATTACCTGATTCTCGATTTCTTCCTCCGTGTCGTGTCCGTCTTCGGGTGGTTTTGTGTTAAGTGAAAGATTAACGGGGTTTGGCGATGAGCTTCGTCGTTCTGTAGGCGTATGGTTACTTTCGTCGTCCTCGTCGTCGTCGTCGTCTTTGATTTCGCCCTCCTCTTTATCTTCGTCCTCCGCACTTTCTTCCGTTTTTACTTGTACCGGCATTGAATTTTCATTGTCGCTATGTGACCAATTGTCGACCGACTGCTTATCGTTAGCCTCCGAAGACTGCCACATATCCGACTTAATTTGCAATAGTTCAAATAGTTCCTGTATACTCTCCAATTCGCTAGACTGGTGATAAGCAAATAAATTGATTACGCAAACTTGCGCCTTGCGAAACTTACCTTAATGCACGCTTGCCCGTTGTAAAGGAAATCCAAAAGGTGTTTAAAGTGGCTGCTTTTGATTCCGGGGATGAGTATTACGCTCGGCCCATGAGCGTGGATACTTTCGCCAAGAATACGGCGAACAAGAGGACTCGCAGATGCCATTATTAACTTATGTGCACTAAGTGCCGTTTTATCGTCGCAAATAAATGTCATATCCGCAAAATTTTCGGATGTAAAACACGTTTTGATTTCTTCTATAATAGTTGCATGATGCTTGCCGTAATGCAAAGTTAATAAACCGTGGGAATCTTGTTCTTCAGAGTACATGGCGAAATAAATATTTCGGTCGAAAATCACCTGAAAGCACGAGTATGCCTTATTGTCGCAATTCTATTTAGTTGTGATTGTTTCTTTAATTGAGTTAATTACGTCGTTGGCTTTGTAATTAAATATCTATTACGAACACGTAATAGAGAAAAGTGAGAAATACGATAGTTTTGGTGTATGGCAATTGTGTTAAAATTTAAGATTGCGGCTTGTTAATTGGAGGTTATAAATAACTGAAAGATTGGGAAAGGGTGTCTAATTGTATTTAATAAAGAGCAACAAGTTGTTGGCGGGAGGATAGGCAGTACACACTGGCTAACGTCCAGAGATTACTCACCCGTAAAATAGTGTAATCCTATTGAGCACTCGTGAGTGCGTTTGTCGTATCCTCGGGAGCACCACGAGTACCAAAGGGCGCAGCACAGCACTGTGACATGACAATTTAGTCCACCTCATAGCACAGAGAAATAATCGACCACAAGTTTACGCTCTTTACTTAAACTTCACATAGAGTGGATATTATTTTTGGGCCACGACACTCTGCACTGTGTTGCGCCACAAATGAAAGTAAAAGTGAACGAGAAGTTCGAGCCTTCACAACAAGCAGCCGTTACCGCTGTATGGTATTCGTACAACACACAAAGTATTGGATTCCGTCCGGGGGCCAATTTTATTTCAACAACACTTTGGAAATAGCGCCATTCCCGATGTTGCAAATTAACTCAAAAAGGAAGCTTTGCTCCTGAAACCGCTCGTAATACTACTAGCTCTTAATTTCTCCCTTTACTTTCCCCTCTTTTCTCTTCAGGTCCCCACTACAGACGAGTTTTTTTTTCTTAAGCTGGCTGGCTCACAACTTCTCTTTCTCTGCTTTCAAGGTCGCATAGAGCAGACGGCAACGCGCTGTTCGTTACTCAACTTTTTTATGTTGTAGCGGTTTTAAGAGAGCGCGGTCGCGCGGGTTCTATTTTAACTCGTAATTGAATGTTTAAACCAATAGTGCGATTTCGCATTTGTTAGACCGCGAATTGCAGGCTAACATTCCGAGCGTTTCAGTTGCTTTCACCGGCTTCGCCAAGGAGACTCGTCGCCAACGGGGCCCGCGCAGGGGCCGCAAATGTACTTTCACAATACTTTAGTCAAGAGGGGGAACTGTTGTATAATACTACTGCAATCGATTTATATTAACAATAAAATGCTAATCTTAAAATAAACCGATTAAATTAGATCGATTAAGTCCAAAAATTTCTTTTGCCGCCATAAAGCTCCCCTTACACAGAATGAAATCCCTACGTTACCTTGCCCCCTTTTAAAATAGGACCGCAATTGAATATATCCGCCCAGGTGAGAAAGAGATATAACAGTAGTCGCTAACGTTGCTCATGTAATTCTAATATGCCATTGTTATGTTGGCATTATGTTATGAGAACGAGGGAAAGTAACCATAATGTATAACTTTCACTATCGCGTAACTCTGTCTGAGCCCTACATACAGGGCCGACCCCTTGCCCCATGTTCATTCAAGGTTAACCGATTGTATTTTTTCTTTCCCTTAATGACACGTCGCGTTTAAATTTGCACGTACGATTGCGAATCGTTACTTAATTAGCGTTCTAGAGAATATCTAATAGACTTTTTAATTGATTATATAAAACGTTAAATAAGTTTTTGGGAATCTCTAGAGTCTATAATTAATTGCTCTTTCCACTTGTACAGTTTTCCTTAGACATCGTACCCGTAATTATTTATAAAATTAGCGCGTTAGAGTAGGCGAACAAATCAGTTTGCAGTATTACTGCCCTCGAGAATAATTTTTACCTGTTTCTGATCAAGGTCTCCGCTTCACAGGGAAGTGAAAGTGGTATTACTTACATCCACGTAGAGGACTTATCATCCCGACACATTTTCGACGTTTATTTGTTTCAAATTGAAACTGACACGAATTTATCAGGAAAATTAAACGTTTTTGGAAAGTGAACGTATATAAGGTCTTACATAATGAGATTTGGGTCGGCAGTCACATGGCGGTTGTTATTGTTCGCGTGTACAGTCGTGGTGTTGCAGTTCAGGATCGGAATATCCTTGAAACTTCGCACATCCGCCCTCATCGGAATATCTAGACTCTTCATTAGCTGCTTAGTTAGATCTCGTCACTATGACTAATCCTTTCTATTTCTACGCTTCACTTTTGTTAACATTATAATCGGATACCTCTTTTTGTTCTCGGCAGCGAGTGGCGATTTAAAATTGTTTAAATTCAAATGCCTACAATTTTCTCATTTGTTTCTAGGATCCTCATCGACGCTGAACGAAAGGCTGTTGCACGGTAACTTTTGTCTAAAAATGACCGGAATATTGAGCCTTCTCAGGAATCAGTGCCATTTTTACGTGCCCACATATCCAAAATGATAGCCAAGTTCGTAGTAGCATTACTTAGTTACGACCTTTCTGCCGCTTTAATAATGCAAAAACAGTTGGGTTTAGTCACCGAATTCAATCCAAATTAAAAGTCTCATCTCATTCAAATAACCAAGTAGAAAAATTTTAGTTGAAACGGCCTCATTAGGTAAATAACTGACATACAAATTTTTTGAAATTTATTTTTATTATAGTCTCCCGGATGACAATCGACTCATTAGACACCCTGTATTTATGTATCATAGAAGTCCCTGTGTTAGAAGTAGAATATACTTTAACTCTAACAATAATATTAACAAAAGCAATGATGCGAATGTTTAAAGGACAACACATTCAAAACGTTAACAAGATACGAAGAATCGCATACGAATTTCAGTACGTATAGGAATTTTTTGACACTTAGCTCAGAGTCGGAAACTTTTAATCCGGCTCATGTTCAATAGCACTGATCTTTGAACTCGTAGAAATCGATGGCGAAGATTTGACATCTTTTCGTTTTCGAGTTAGAAGACGGACGGACAGACAGACGGACGGACATCAATTAAAGGGATTTTTTATCTTTCGAAAAATTCCCCAAAAACCGTCATAAATCTACTGGATTATAAGGCGCTGTCTTTTCACATTTGAATAACTTCTCTACGGATAAATGCAGGAGTCGGGATAATTCTACATTTTTAGGAATTTTTTTTCTCTGCGCTTAAAACCTAATGAAAGGATGGCGCTGTAGAAAGGTACTGTTGAGTTGTAATTGTTATTATGCATATTTTGTAACTAGGTATTAAGTAGATACGGATAAAATCATTTGTTAGTCACGTATGTAAGGAGTAGATGAAATGTCATGTTATGTTAGTACCTTCTGCGAATTCTGGACAGCTCATCAGACAATCTAAGTAGTTTCAGGAAAGGCCCTTCTGCGAAGGTTCTCAGTAGGCATTGTAGTTAACATTCGTTCTTCAGAATTCAGTAATCCTGATGGACTTATTCAATAAGAACCTCATTAAAGTTAAGTCATTTTCTTCGTTGCACATTCATCAGCTCGTAGTATTATTTATTTAGGTGCATATCAGTGACTTTTAAGCAAATTTAGTCATATTAACAGCGAGTCGTGTTCCAACTCTCTTATGTAAGTAACTTCAATAAACGTAAATCATTTCATCTGATTGATTTAATGAACTTAAAAACGCTTAAGTTACAACAGGTACGTAGTGGAAATAGCTAACAATCAATTATTATTAACGATCCTCGAGATCATTTATAATTTTGTATTGGTGTCTGTCTGTCTACCTGTACAATGATCCGATCGCTATCGTAGACTATCGGGCCAAACAGTTATTGTAAAAATTATGGATGCGTAGATCTCGAGGACCGCTCGGTATTCAGTTGTATAGGATTCTTCTTTATATATTTGGGTTTGTTCATCGGCCTATCTAACCGTATTTCTATGCACACCCCCATACTTACAAGTTGTGAAGAAAGCCATTTTTTGCAAGATTTGTACCCGTTGTGGGTAAACACGAATATTTCTTAAGTGTTTGTTAATTTTCATACTATATTTCGTATATTTTCGTTGATTTCGAGGAATATGATTTGAATTCCCAATTTTATGAGGCCCATGCATTGCACGACGGGTGGTTAGAAAAGAACCCAACAGGGCAGGACCAATTCAGTTTATTTGGAGTACTTTTTTCATAAACGAACGCAATCAACTTAGTAAAATACATTTAGTGGTAGGAACAGTTTATTGACTTACAGTACCTAGATAGGTACCTAAACCAGGCGCTGGTGTTAAATGAGGAAGAAATATTTGTCCGTAAACCGTAAGCGATGTTCAAAAGTGAAATTGCGGTTCCCTCTTTACATTCACGTAACCAGCCAGCGCCGGATTTTAGCGCCAGATTTATATTTCCTGGCAATGCCCGCGTACTTTCACACTCTAACTTCATTAAGTATCTGTTATGGCACCCCAAGCTAAAAGTACAGCATTGGATCAATTAAACTGTCCTGATAAAATATTTTTTTTTTGGGAAAAGTGAAACACTCACAATCATTTTCGGGATTCAGCAATACATAAATAAACATGTCAACATCCCTAACGCCTTTTTTATACTATACGGGCCTTCAAACAATAACAGGAACTTTTTAGTTTCCTCGCTTATTTTTGAAAAGGGATGCTTGGTGATACGAGCGCACTCCTTCACGCGTATCGGTAGTTTGAATAGCCGAAAAATTCCAAATATTTTGTTGGAGTCGCGGGGCGATTGGGCGCAAACCGAAATGTGGTTAAGCTCGAAATCATATTTTCCCAATGCCATCGCCTTAAGAGCGATCCGTCTGATACCTGGTCTGATAGCAAGCGACACGTGTTCAAATATGTTACCGAAACATTTTCGCTACAAAAGCACGCCATAACACATAAATCCTAAATTGATTTAAAGCTTCTTTTTCGTTGAAATTAAACCGCCTTTCCCTGTCCAACAATATGCAACTGAATACGCCATCGCTTTTCTTTCCCCTCAACGATATGAAAAAGCAGAATGTTCTTAGATAACTTTCCCTTGATCTCCTCGAAAACGTTTTTTTTCGGTTTCGGCCCTTTTCCATGGACACTGTTTCGGTCATAAGTAAATCAGTACATCATCCAATTATTTCCAAATCACTGGATTCGGAGATGCAGAGGAACGATGGAATCGCCTATCCTATACGATCTTCTGAACCTGATCTGACGCCATTTGACTTCTTGTTATGAGGACATCTTTACGGTATTGTATATTAAATCTAAACCTCTCGATTTAGCGACATAAATATAGCGATTAGATTGATCACGAATGAGAAACGTTAGAAATTTTTTTTATTTAAGATTATGGAAGGAATTTGCATTTAAAATTAAAATATTTTCAAGATGTTCTCAGCCTACACGAGGGTTCTTTCTAAAGATGTAATGCGTTTTACAGTTTTCCCTATAAAATTGGTTTTTAAACAGTAATTTTGGGCATTTTTGATCTAGGAGTAGGTATCACCACGCACATGCGCTAAAATTTAAAATTATAATTACACTTATTTTGAGTATAACAGAAAATTATAATGGTATAATCTTAACTACTTGTACTAGCCATCAAAGAGAGTAAATCGACCGATTTAAATCAGATCTTGTGTTTATTGTCGGGAAAATTGTACATGACAATAAATAATAACTTACCACGGGCCTTTAACTTTTCATAGCATGCGAATAAATAAAGAATAAGGTTTTTACGTCCGTTTCATAATCAAATTTAACGTCCGTCATCTTTACCCACTTAATGTTACGTTTTTGATTTATAGTCCAACCTTTTTTTTGCAGTTGAACGATTAAAAATGGACATTTTAACAGCACCGTTGAGATCTTTAAATTTGCAAACCGTAGCTCAGGTGAAAAAATATGGAACTTTCCCAAATATTTGTATCGTGCTTACTAAGTGAACATTATGCATTTTGTTTGACCACATTGATATTATCAAAGAAAGAAATTAATGCCAACTGCCAAGTTAGGTGGATTTTACTGAAAATAATCACTACTCAATCAATTTTCTTCATTTCCTTTCTTCCTAGAATTACTAAATACGGTTCATCTGGAGGGGTAGTTTTTTTTATTACAAAGCAATTTCATAGTTTCCAAATGGGCACTATATTTTAATCGTGTGGGGTTTGTGTTCGATAAATGTTGTGTTAGATGCTAAAACCGTTTATCCTATAAACTAATCGGAATCTTGACTTTATAGGCAAATGTCTATACGAAACAAATTGAATTGTTTCTAAGGCATCATAAAATTAACATAATTTGAATGGTGTTATCGCTCGCCGGTCTGCTTGTTGGTAACATTTTGACCGTTGTAGTTTAGCATGAGTCAATAAAATACTTAATTAAAGACCACCCAATTTGTTAGTATAATAGACATTCAGATATTGTCAGTATAGTAATGTAACGTTAAACAGGAAAATGTATTACACACAGAGTGGGCTTTTTTTACAGTGATGGGAGACTGTAATCTATTCACAATCTGCATTTTTTCTTCAATATGGCCACAGATTATTGTCATCTGTGATATGGCTAAATAAATCAATTCCGGTTGCAGCGTTGTAAATAGACAAATAAATAAGCTTAAATGTCAACTACACATTTAGAAGGTTGGTGTCTAAGAACAACACAAAACCACATTGGGGTGCGTGGGCTGGCCAATAAATTATTTTAAAAAAAGGTAACAGACTAAGTGCGTGCAGTACTGCACATTTTTGAAAAACAAGCAAGTCATCAAAATGACAGTAACCATCCAATTTTATTCCGATGTGCAAGTCACACTAAAGTTAATAATGAGGAGCACAACTGCATCTCATACCGCGATACGAGGAACAATAACCCAATTAAGTGTAGATTGAACAACAGAATAAGTAGACTAAGAAAAGATAGGTAAAGGTTATTAGGTCTCTTTTACATTATAGGAATGTGTGATGTTCAAAGAAATTCCTATCTATTTGGAAATTTCCAAATTAATTACAACATTTCAAAGCGGAAAATGAACTAAAACCGGTAAAAAGTGAATTTCATAAAATTATTTAACATAATTAAAATCTGTGTGGAAATCAGTTATGTTTTTCTTACGTTTGATTGCAGAAACGGTTACATATTGTAGATTAAAGCTTTCACTAGTATGAAATTGTCGACTACACAAATGCACCTTTCAGATTTTTCTGTAATATTTTTTACACTTACAATTTGTTTATTACCATCGCCATGGATCACACTGTAAACCTTGGTTTTTAGAATAAACTGGCGAGCGTGGAAATAGTTGCGTAATTTAATTAGCTTTCTTATTGCAGTACATTTTTGTGTACTTTCCTTACGAAAATCGGAAACGAGATTTTATCGCATTTACTGCAGTATAACAGAATAGTTAAAACGCTATAGGCTTTGCTATTGCGCACAGCACCATTGAGATTATTGACGGGATAATCATTAATTTTAATTACATAACAAAGCTAAATTTAAGAACTATTATAGTATTTTGAATTCCATTTTAAGTTAACCTTCTTTTCAAGAACAATAATAATAATGATAAAATTACTGAGAAAAAATTTAATGGCACTGTGAATTTTTTATTTAGCAATTACGAAATAGGTACTTAAATAAATGCAACTACAAATTAATTTTATTATGGTTAATTCCTAGTGTATTAACACAGTGAATTTTAAAAAAATGTTGACATAAACATTATAATAGAAAGTATTTAAACGCAATCACGATTTCTGTAAATCCTAATAATACCGACGTGAAAGGTACACACTCTCCGCCAAAAGGTATACCTACGTACAACTCTACTTCGAACAATAGGTACCCACGAATTATTAATAAGCTCCTTATAATCAATCAATAATTCATTAAAGCACATTTTTGGGAAAATACCGCTTGTTACTCGTAGACAACCGAAAGTATGTAGTGAAGTAAATCTTTTCATCATAAAAGTGCATA